TAAAGGAACCAGCAGACTAGCAAAAATAAAGTACCATACTGAATCTAATAAGCTCTACAGTAATTGAATTTAATTAACAAATGCAGGAATATAAGCTTAAAGAACAGTAGATTACAAGCAGTATTGAAATGATACATGCTTTAAAATGACTTTACAATAATAAAAATCAATAAGCACAGTGAGATAAAATAAATAATACTTCCTCAAAGTTTCAAAGTCAGAGATGGGCCGTACAAAATGCAAGATTGAAGGGGATAGTTCTTAAAATACAGAATTACTTCAAAATCAAATGTGATGTTGAACAATTTAATACATTATTATATTCAGTACACAAAACAGCAGATGCTAAGACAAATCTGTGCGATTTGAATAGTAAATACTTAGCCATAGCAAAAGAATACTATATCTGTAGGAATGTAGATCACATTCAGAAGATGTGCAGAAATAGTTAGAGCTGCAAAGGCCTAACTTTTTCTAAGTCCAAACAGAATTCCTTCTGGGAAAATTGTGAAATGTCCAAACCACCTACATTTGTGAAGTCAGAGTCTTCTGCAGAGATTGGGTTATGGTAAATGTTATATAGTTACATACATGAATGAATAATGGTTAACCATGGGGATAAAGAAAATGTTGTTATCAGGCATTAATTCTGAAAGAGTTAATGATGTTGTTGCATTAGCTCCACCTAATCTGATGATGTCACACAGTCTTTGGGTAGCGTCAGCCTTTGCCGGGAACAGACATAATTTGTACAGCTTCTGAGGATTATGCCTAAAGTAAGTCTCACTTGTTGGTATCATGTAATAGATCCTCATGTTAACAACAATCTGTTCTGTTTATACTCACCAGTGTTCCAACATCTATGATGAACAATTAGACAAGCCCTAGCCACAGTATGGACAAAGAAGGATTGGTGGCAACGAACTACGTACCCTATGCAACATAATGGCAGAGATGGTGGATATCATGAGGTACCAGCAGTGGCAATCAGGACAAATACCACAGAATGAGTGGTAATGCTCTGCTAGGCCCCAAAATGTTAGCCAACAGATGCCCCTCCCATTGCCCCGCACCACTGTTTCCCACCTATTTAGGTTCCTTCTACCCAGGAGTCACCTAATATTGTAGCAGCATGGAGACAGCAGATTGCATCAGTGATTTTCATTTCTGGTTGTAACCTGTAACACCAATGGAGGAGTAATTGGGAATGGGGTGGCATTTTGCAAACCAGTTTTGATAAAGTCTCAGTACAATATACTAATGAAGCCAGGCCCTTAAAGTATACCACTGCTCATATTTCAGGAGAATACCCAACCCACACTTCTCAAATAAGGTTCAACACTCAAGTAATATTAAAATGAGATCAATTGAAAATAGTCTGTTGTTTTTTAAAGCAGATAGTGAAACAAGTACACAAAAAGCAAACTGGGATTTATATTAAAAATCATATAGAAAAAATATATAACAGCTTTTATGTGAATTACTAATGTCGCTTTTAAGGGAAGTGTAATACAAGATTAAAAATATTATCTGGCACTGTGTAGTTGGTGACTCATCCATTTGAAATCTTGACACCTACACAAGGGAAGCAAACAATTATGGAACATCTTGTGCAAATAATTATATTTATTTGAAGTTAAGGGTGTGATGTTGGTATTCAAGCACGTTCAAAACTACACATGTAAACATACCACAAATAGATTGAAGTAATTTCTGAATCAAACAATTATTTACTCTAAATCACTGAGGCAAATTAATAATTTGGTGAATAAACATTAATTAGTATTATAAAACTAAAATATAACCAATTTTTGCTACTTGAGTAATCAAATATGTAAAACAACATTTATATAGTCCATTATTAAATCTCAGAAAAGACTAATATGTTTAATATAGGCAAGTTAATGAAGAAATGGAGGAGTAAATGGCAATGGGGTAGCATTTTGCAGGCCGGTTTTGATAAAGACTCAGTACAACAGAAACCTTTTCTATATTAATATTTCTTTCTGAAGATTTCAATTTTCTTGTGAATTTCTATATTTTTCTTCCTGAGACTGCAAGGAGAAGCATGTAGCACAGC